TGGGTTCCAGATGAAACTTTGTTTGAGTTCATCTTTCTCCTGGTCAAGCTACAAGGCTAACTTTTCACTAACATTTACTTTATCTCAGCAAATGTGCAAATTGGGGGAGGTTCTTTTAATAATAACTACCCATCATAAGGTGTTTATTTGGTCAAAATAAATGTCCATGTTAAGGCTCTCATCAAAATATAATTTAAATCAATACTAGCCTGAGAAAAAACTGGCTTTCGCAACACCAACGCTGGTTTCCCCACAAAATGATGTCCAAGGAATGAATGCAGAAATTCCATATCTGTGTCACTACCCAGATCTAGGAAGTGGTTCTGATTGGATGAAGCACAAATTTTCAACCAATCAGAAGCACTGGGTAGTGATGTGTCATCAATATGGAGTTCCTGCCCTCACTCCTTAGACATCATTTTGAAGGGGAACCGTTTTCTCTGGCTATTAGATTCTTTACCCTTTAAGTCCCAATGGTGACCAACATCAATTTTCTCCTAACCATATCCATAGATTGTCAAGAGATTAGGTTATGAGAATTAATAAATTGATCACCTAAAAGAAAATGCTTTGATCTTTTATCAAATGCTCTCAACACATTCTTTAAGGAAATGTATACAGATCAGTTTGAAGAATTCGTATGTGGATATTGCAGCTTAAATGGTTAATTTCTTATTACAGGCATTTACCATAGATCTTCAATGGAAACTGCATGATCAAACCATAATTTTTGACTTTTCAGTGAAAAATTATAATGATTGTTTTATTCATTTGTTGTAGGTAGTCTGTTAATAATTAATACTTACCTAAATCTAAATCAAATCCTAAGATAAATCTGAGAGGTTTAGGTACTATAATGGTGGTGACACCAATATTGACAAAGTACACCATCAGCAGTGGAAGAGAAGCCATTGTTGGAAGCAGAAGTTTATCTCTCCACTTGAGATCAAGAACATCATCAGCAAAACCAAGGAAAATCATACAGCAAATGGACAGAAGACCAGCAATAAACATGACAAACTGTGAGTGGAAAAATACTGGTCAGTATGAGATAAATTAATGATTAACTACTACAGTAGTTTACAAAGAAAATACACGAATAGGTATTAAAAAAGAAGGGGTGTGTGGAAGTAAGGCCCAAAGTGACTCCTGATCTAATACAAAATTCTCTCTTCAACTCACAAGCATATACACTGAAAATTTGAGAAGGAATTCAGTAGTTTAACAGAAGTCACTTTGTGCCTGTCTTCATAATGACTGTATAATATTGTGAAGGAGAGCACCTTGAACGGTTGAATACAACAATCACTGTATTAAGCAGACCCCATATTAGGTAAACACCCTGTTTTAAGTAGACAAATGGCCCAGTTTGTTTCAAACATTTCTTCCCATATTTTCTGTAAAATGAACCTGTATCAAGACA